TTTACTGATGATACCATTGACACTGGTGGTCTATTATCCTGGCAATTACAAATCTCCCTTTGGTAAATAAATCTGTTTAGTTTCCCTTTAAAAATGCAGGCTGCAGCAATGTTTAAAGTGATGAGGGATAGCCCTACCATACCAGAAACACTATCACCCGAGGGCAAGGATTTCTTGAGATGCTGCTTCCAAAGAAATCCTGCAGACAGACCATCAGCTAGTACATTACTAGAACATCGATTTCTCAAAAATTCACAGAATTTAGGCATCCAACCTGCCGCCCCTTTGTTTAATGGAATGAAATCAGTGGTACACAAGAAATACATGTCTATTTGGGATTCGTAATTTTAAATGGTTTATATCATAGTTTCTTTAATTTATGCAGGATCCGCCTTTTAGTCCAAGAGAGCATCCTGAAATTAAACACAATCAGTTACCCGTGCTTCCAAACTCACGAAGTACAGAAGCAGTGACATCTGAAAGGTAAAAGGCTAGTCTTTGCACCGTCTCTAAAGTATCTTTTCTGTTTACCCAAACCATTGAATTCATTCCATTCTCAAGTTGGTAAATCTTTACTTTTGCATGATTTGCCGGCTCCAGCTTCACGTATTATTCTTTTTCTCCAGCAAGACCATCCAACAATCTCATCATGAAGCTTCCAACTTAAGAATAGCATCTCGTCATTCTCCTCGTTCTACCCTTGAGTCTCTTCCTAGTTTGTCTCCTCCACGTTCACGTCACAGTGCACATCATTACTATTCCTAGCTCTACCAACCATGGTTCTAAGAAGCACCATGTTTTCAGATAATGTGGAGGAAAGAGGAAAGGAAGTACCGAGTACTGCTTCTTTTTTTTTTTTTCCCCAATGACGAATTGCACCTAAGACCTTCATGGGTGCTGAGTAGGCAATTGGCCATGGGGAATTGAATTTTTCATCAATGCCTCGCTGAAATTCCCCAAGAAATTTTATCCTGGAAGGAACAACCTCCAGGCTCACAGCAGATCTGGAAGCAGGATTTTTTTTTTTTTTTTTTGGGTATACCATTCACTAATTTGGAGCTACCAGCAAGCACTGGAGTTCTTTTCTTGTATATATATTGAGACAAGCTGATCAATTGATCGCCATGTAAATTTGGAAATCAATCACACTGTAGAATTTAGACGGTTTAAGCTATTCCTGTGTAATATTCTGCTTTCTTTTTACAAGGGATTAGTGCAATGATTTGATTTCAGTAATTTGATTTGGTTTAAGCTGTTGCTTGTGTCATGTTCTCCTTCGTTTTTGTAAGCTGATTTGTTTTTCATTTTCTTAGCAAAAGGACAATGTATACTAAGATTAGAAGATAATGATGTTGGAAACAAAAAAGAAGAATAATACTTTGAAAAAAAGTTTATTATTTTGTTATTTTCATTATATATATAAAAGTTTTATATATAGATTTATATAATAAAATATTTTTAAGTATAAAACTATATAACAAAATATTCCTAATTTAAATGTATATAATAAAT